CTATTATAAAGTTAAATAATAAAATAAAAGTAAATTTTAACTACTTTTTTAATATCCTTTTTTAAAAGGAATATAATATAATACATTTAGCTTTTTTTAATATAATATATTATTATATCTTTTTTAAATTTATTAATTAACTTTTTTAATTAATTATTAAATAAGTCTTTATTTTTAAAAAAGATATTTAAATTAGCTTTATAAATTTTAACCTTCTTTATATATTTTAAGTTTAAATTTATAAAGTTACCTATTAAGCTAATTATTTTAAAAATAGCCTATATAGCTATATTAACTAGCTTAAAGTTAATTCCATTAAAGGTACTTTTAACTATGCTTTTTTATAATATTAAGGTTAAGCTACCTTTTTTTATTTAAGCTTAAAAAGCGGTAATTTATTTTTATAGCTATTAAATTAAGGTAACTTAATTAATAACGTTTATTTTATTTATTAATTAGGGTAATTTTATTAATCCTTTATTTAAATTAAAGTTTAATAGTAAAAGTGTTATATTTTCCGGTTCGAAGTTTAAAAAGTCCTAAAAGCTATTTTTAAATTTAATATTAATTTTTTCTTCTTTAATAAAAGGGATAGGGTTTTAAATTAATTATTTATTAGCTATAGGAACGTTAAATATAATATATAATAATAATTGTTAAAATTGTTTTAGGTTATTTATTTTAATTAAGGTCTTCTTAATTTTAAGGGGTATAAGGTTTAATTTTATTAATTAGGTTTATTATAAGGTTATATTCGTTTATCGTTAAATACGGGATATAATAATAAGGGGGGGGGAAAGGTTTAATTTATAAATTATAAATAACAACGATTAAATATAAGTAATATATTTATATAATATTTATTAATAAAAAGGAGGAGTTTAAAATAGTATTATAATTAAAGGTTTAAGGTATAGCTATATTAATGCTATAAATGAAGATTTTAAGCTAAGGAAGAAAGGAAGGAAAGATAAAATTAAAATATAAGCGTATATAAAGATATACGTATATTAATAGCTATTATAGGTCATGTGACCTTATCGGTATAGGTTTTATATATTTCCATAATGTCCCTCCACAGTGCGCACAATATTCCGGCATAATATATATTTAACATATTCATTACAATAACTATTAATTATATTAAAAAGTTTTTAATAGAACTTTTAAAATGGAATATATCCTTATTATTAATATAATTATTAATAGATTAATTAAAACACTTTTTAAAGAAAAATATAATATATTTTTATAATAACTTAACCTTATAAATGTTAAAAGCATTTAAAAATTATAAATATTAAAAGAAATATTAAAGGAAAAATAGGATATATTTAAAGATTTATTAAAAAAAGGAAAATTAAACTTATAAATAATTAAATAAATAAAATAGTATTTTTATTTAATGGAAATATATAAAGTTACTATTAAATATATTTATAGGAATTATCCTTAAGGGAGTGCTTCTTAAAGGGGTATATTAAATATAAGGGGTTATATTTTAAGCTAAAATATTAAATAAATGGGAACCTTAAAGTAAACTTATATTTAAAAGATAAGGACCCTTATATTATCTTAATATAATAAACGCATTATATTAATAATAACATTAATTAATTAATATATTATAATTTTATATATTATTGCTTATATTTAATAATTATCCTATATCCTTTTAACCTAAGAACCGTGGCGTAGTTGGTTAACTTATAGCTATATATATTATAAAGCTATTATAATTATTAAATAGCTATTAATAATATTAACGATTATATACCTATATATAAGGAGTTCTATTAGGGTAAGAATATTAGGGGTTAAAGGTTTTAATTCTATAATATTCCAAAGGTAAGTTTAAGGTATTTATATAAGCTAAGTAAAAACCCGGCCTTACGACCACCCCCCGTTACGACCACCCCTTCTACCTATTAATTACTTAACTTTTAAAGCAATTTTTTTAATGAATACGTTGTTTGCGATGCTTTTTCTAGTATTTTTAATTAAATCTATTATTTTTAACCTTAATAACCTCTTTTATATTAATATCTTTACATTTTAAAATATATCGATTAATAGCTTTATTAATATATATTATATAATTATATAATTTATGTTTTAACTTCTATATATATATTATATAAACGAAGTTATTATTAAAACTTAATTTAATTAATTTTTACTTAACCTTAATATTTTTTTAAAGTTTAACTTTTAATGCTTTAATCTTTATTTATAAAAATATAATAATTTTAACCTTTTAATTAAAGGCCTTATTAGCCTTTATAAAAAATAGCCTTTATAATAGATTATTAAATAAAAAAAAGGTTTAACGCATCTCCCACTTGACCTGGCCACCCCACCAGCCCATACAAAAAACGTCGGTGCGCTAATCACGTGATAATTGAATAACTCTATGAATACTAATCGTATAAAATAATGAAATATACCATTAGATTCGTAATAAGAAGGGCTATCCAACGGTACTCTCCATTGATTTATACGACTTATATCCGTGGAGTTATTAAGCAATACGCTAAAGTAAGCGCTAAAATAATCCTTGCCTAGCGGCCTTTTAGCGTATTGCTTAATATTTCGCCCAATAAATTTTATAAAAAATAGTAAAAAATACCGCTAGATTCCTTATTAAATAACGGATCTAATAGTACTAATTATTAAATTGTAGGACTAATATTGGTTAAGTTATTCTAAATTGAAATATTGGACTTTTATATAAGTTAAGGGGGTGGCCAGCTCAATTGGGTGGCTAGGTCAAGTGGGAAATGCGTTAAGTTAATTTTTATATATTAGTTTATAATTGCTAGCTTTTAAAAGGTATTTTAATTATAATTTTAAAAGCTATTTTTAATAAATTAAATGTAATAGGTTGTTCTTTAACTATAAATATTAGTACTATTACCTTTATAATAACGCATCTCCCACTTGACCTGGCCACCCAATTGAGCTGGCCACCCCCCTAACCTATATAAAAATCCAATGTTTCAATTTATAATAACTTGACCAATATTTGGCCCACAATAAAATAATTAACACCATTAGATCCGTTATTTAATAAGGAATCCAGTGGTATTTTTTACTATTTTTTATAAAATTTATTAAGCGAGATATTAAGCAATACGCTAAAGGGGCGCTAAGTAAGGATTAATTTAGCGCTTACTTTAGCGTATTGCTTGATAACTCAGCGAATATAAGTCGTATAAACTAATGAAGGGCACCGTTAAATAGCTTTCTTTATTACGAATCTAATGGTATACTTTATTATTTTATACGACCAATATTCGTAAAGTTATTAAATTATCACGTGATTAGTGCACCGACGTTTTTTGTATGGGCTAGGGGGGTGGCCAGGTCAATTGGGTGGCCAGGTCAAGTGGGAGATGCGTTACCCTTCTTTTTAAATATTATATATTTTAAAGATAATAATACCTATTAATTTTTTAAATATATCCTAACTATTTTTTATACTTTTTTAATATATTTAGCTTTATTATGTTTTTATATATAGCTTTATATATTATTAATATATTTTATTTTAAAGGCTTTATATTTAAATAGCTTATAGGTATTTTTTATAATTTATTTTTTAACTTTTTTTTTAATAAATTAAAGATTTTAACGTTTAATAGCTATAATATATAATTATAATAAGGTTTATAAAATAAAAATTAAATCTTATTTAAAAGGTAGGTTTAAAAAAACTTATTATTAATATATAATTTATAGTTATTATATATTAATATATATTATATATTATTATAATAGCTTTAAATATAAGGTATAAAAAGGTTTTATAATTATTTTAATATTATAAAATTATTAGTTTACCTATTAGGTAAATATTTAAAGCGTTAATTTTTAAATAAACTTTAATTTTAATTCGGAAATTATTAACTTTATATTTATATATCCTTTTAGATTATTAATAGCAATAAAGCATTATTAATAGCATTAATAGCTTTAAAAATAATAATCCATTTGCTTTTTTTAATAGCTTTTTTAAAAGTTTAATATAAAATAAAGTTAATAATTATTTAATAATTATTATTAACCCTTTAATTTATACCTATTTTATTAATATTATAAAAGCGGTTAAAAGGGATATTTATAACTTTTAAAGCTTTAAAGCAATTAAAAAAAAGGTTAATATTAATTATTATTATATTATTAATATATATATAATTAATAAATTGCAATTTAATTAACTTAACTTTATTATTTTAAGTTAAAAAATAGATATACTATTCTTTTTTAAAACTTTTATTACTGCTTAAAGTAATTAATATATGTTTAGCTATAAGTTTAAATTTAAATAATAAAGGTATAAAGCTTAACTTAATTTGCCCTATTGTTTAATTTATTAATTAATATTTATAATAAATTAATAAAGCTTAAAGGTTAATATAAGTTTATTTTTTAATAAGAATACCTTAAAGTTAATAATATAGATATAATCTATTAATATTTTAAATATATATTGCTATTTAAATTAAAATTCTAAGTTAAACTATATAAAGAGCAGCTATAATATAATAATTTTTTAAATTAAAAGATATAATAATAAAAAGGAATTAATTTTAAATAAAATAAAGGTAAAAAGTTATTTTAAAACCTAAATATAGTTATATTATTAAGTAATGTTTAATTAGGTGGTTAGGAGTCAAAGCGCATTTTAGGGTGCCTAGGGCCCTGGTCGTAACGGGGGGTGGTCGTGAGGCCGGGTTTTTGCTTAGTCCTTAAAGAAGGATGTTACCTATTTTTTAGGTACAATAAACTATTATAATATTACCTAGCTATAGTTTTATATATTTATTCTATTATTATATAAGGAGGGAAGTTTTAATTTTCGCCCCTTATTCCCTTTCCTAGCGTTATATACAATGTTCCTTGGTCCGTGCTGTATATCGGAAATTAGGCTTCCTTGGTTCCGTGACAAAGACGGTATTTCTGCTTCGGGTCAATCTGCAATTTGAACTCCTTCGAGGTCAATGTAGAGGCATCCTCCAGATCGGCGAGCACTTCTGAGTCGGCGATGTAGTACAATCGCCCAGCCCGTTCCCAGGATTCACCGGCAGGTCCGGGTATTTAGTCAGAATTTGTAGCAATAGCACCAAGATCATAGAGGCTAGAATAGCGACAACTGTCCAAGTGGTTCCCACATGTAGCATCCATGTCTGGACAGGGCTGAAGGGGATGTTGGACAGGAGAAAAGGGGTGAATTTGGAGAGAATATTGGTGAACCCTACCAGTGCTGTCAGCACCTCTCCTCGCAGAGCTGCTTGCCAAAAGCCGACGAAGGGATTCGTCAGAGGACACATGAGGATGGAATCATTTGCGAGCTGTGGTCGCTTCGATAGTCTCCTATATGGTTCCATCCTCGAGATCCCTATACTCAAGTCATCAGCCCAGCACGGCCCATCGGGTGTCATGTAGAGTCGCGTGTGCAGCATAAGATTGAGAGATGTGCCAAAGGCCCAGGAGGTACGTACATGTAAATTCAAATTGCCAGAAGAAGGAAATGACCAACCCGAGAATCGTGTATATAAGCCTAACGCCGAAGCTCTGGCTGTCCATGAACAATTCGAATGCAGTGTCCAGTCGAGTGGACTTGTAATACAAGATGAGTGCAAGAAGTCCACATATGACAAACAGAAACGCGATGCGAGCGGCGAGATGCGTCTTGGATAGCATGCCGGTATAAGTAGCTTTGAGATTTTTTATTTCTTTACAAGCAGTCGGCTTATAGTTGACGTTGCGGTTTCGAAGTCTTCTATCTCTTCGCAATTTAGGCACGCACTTCCGTGAATTTACAGCGCTGCGCTATGATGCCGTAATGGGCATTTCTTTCCACACCAGAGAAATGACGAATGGAAAAAACCCATTCCTCCAGCTCACGGTCCAGGGTTTTCCGTGACTGTTTGTGATTGTCTGATTCCAATTTCATGGTTTGGAATATCCGCCTCGTTGCTTTTCTCTGCAGTAGCGAGCCTAGGACGGCCATGCTACTTGGCGGCCCTGCGACACCTGACACCCAGCGTCTGAGATACGCGCAGAGAAGAACGAGGTCAATAAGCATGAAAGCCAACAGAGCCTGGACCGCCCGACTAGGTCCAGAGAACAGGGTGAGTCCAAGAAAGCATCCATTGAAATTGGTTGGGCTGCAGTTGCCATAGAGCTTGACTCCAAAAGACTCGCTGGACAAAGCCACGATTGCAGTGGAGGCCCCGAGCAAAAGATTGCCTAGGATTGGGACCGGGTCGTGAAAGAGCTGAATTGATCTCCAGCTGTTCAAGATCCCTCTCAATCCGCCTGTGTCAAGCACGATGGAGTCGATAGCTGCTGCACCGCCAGGCCTCGTGAGGGCATTGAAAGGCAGGAGAATTTTGATATCGGAGTTGATGATCTAGGATATTATAGACAACATAGTGCCTACAATCACTGGGATAAAGTATCCCGCGACGTACTCGGCTTGAGTTATTGGGTGGAAGTAGTCGTCTCGAGTTATATTCTCTTTGCGCCAGCCGTAAGGGCTACTCTCGGGTCCATCAGTCTGGACAGTGAAAAGGGTTGTTGTATAGACAGTGAACCCCGTCGCTGTGACGGTAGCGACGCCCTTGGAATCGCGCGGCGTTACAGCTACGCCGTCAGAGGTGAGATGACCATCAGTCGCTGCAATTGTAGCGATCGGCAACCCTTTGGAGTCTGTGAGCACCACCTCGTCGGGAAGGCCGGGAAGGGCGCCGATAGTGGAAGTGACAGTAGCCGTAGGGCTGCCGTTCACGTCTCTCAGCGTGACCACATCAATGGCAACAGTGGCTGTTGGGGTACCGTGAGCATCTCGAAGAGTGATCAGTTCATAATCGACAGTCGCGGTGGCCACGCCCTGTTTATCTATCAATGTAGCTCGCCCCAGGGTTTCTGTTTTAGTAGGCTTTCCCGTCGAGTCCAATTCAAGTATGACTGTTGCCGTTGGTACACCATTCGCGTCCTGCAAAGTGAGCTGCTCAAAAATGACCGTAGCGGTGGCCGCACCATTTTTATCTGTCAGGATTATCTGATCCAGCGTTTCTGTTGCCTTAGGATTGCCATTCGATCCTAGTTCAACTTTGAGCGTTGCCGTTGGCGTACCGTACGCGTTCTGCAAGGTGATCAGCTCGAATGTAGCGGTAGCTATTCCAATCGAATCTGTCAAAGTATATATAGGTACAATTGACAATTGTCGTGTAGTCGACGCTACAGATGCACCGGATGCATCCGTGATAACAATGACTTGAGCCGTGGAGACCGGGTTCCCTGACACATATATTAGTTGAGCAAGCGGACACGGCTCGGCGTCAATTACGACATTTTCCACTATCGATGATTTCCAAGGCTGGCCGATGCTCAAGCAGTACCCATACCCGCTTACCACGAAATATTTCCAGTATTGCCAATCCTGGGGCGTAAGAAAAACCAAGGCTGACCCTACACAGGCTATTGGCCTAACTACAACTTGAGTCTTGTAGCCGTACCACATAATTCCAGGGCCGGAATCACACTGAAACCCTATGCCTATTCTTCGGAGACTGGATGCCGGGAACGCATAACTTCCCGGGTTTTGCTCCCGACTCCGCAACCGTTGGCTTGTGTTATGAAATGTGTTGGTCAAATTGCTCGCGCCAAGCCAAAATCGACCTTCACGATTGCCCAGCATGACGGGCTCACTCAAGTCATAGGCTGGGCTAGCTGAGGCTGTCTGTGACCGCGAGGCCGTGAAACCCGTACTCTAGTAGCGCAATAAGTGTCGAAACCCAGACACATGCAAAGATCAGGAATGGCACCCTAAGGCTGGCGGGTGTATAGTTTGGCAGACTCTCGCCGTCCCCTTTGGACGGCGGTGCTGATTCGTGATAAGCCATCGTCTGAATCTACGTTTCTACGTTTCGTAGCGTATTGACTGATCTTATGTTCATTAGGGCGAGCTAACCAGGAACTGACCTTGACAAATTGAAAGAAGCGAACAGCATTCTATATGTGCATTTTAATCTGAGGATTTCGACCACTCTTTCATCTTCAAATCGATCATTAGTAGCACCGCAAACCTTTGCTTGCTCCAACTGAGAATATACAGTCTCCCTCCTGCAGGATTTAGTGCGAATGCTATGGTACATTGGGGTCGTGCCCGTGGCACGCACCACGATCCAAATATACCGGCCAATAAACCAGGGTCTGAATGCACCTCGCTGCACAGGGAAAGGCAGATTTTCCAGCCAGGCTTTCCGAGTACCATCAGGTAAAAAAGCATATTGCAGGTTTGACGCGATCAATAATGAATTGCTGGACATGCTCTCCCGGGGCATTCTAACAAGTAGCATAGATTGGCGAAGATATCATACGGGGCCGGACTTATGAGTTTGCTCGATACTTCTATATCTATTGAGAGCAAAGGGTAATCAGCCGTGATAGACTGGGTGGTTTATAAACGCGGGACGTCACTTGTCGATCTTTCCACTCCGGGGGTGTGAAGTATTCGGAGCTTCAGTCTGCCTCTAGACATCCCTTAAGATGTAAAGGATGAGCAAAAAGCTAGTAGCTTATCTGATAAAATGCGCCTGCGAAAGCCTTGCATTCTCAATCCGCCCCGCTGAAGGGTGGCGGCAATTGTAGGCAGACCGATAATTGCAGATTTAACCTTGCTCTATTTAAAGAAGTAAACAAATATATATATGGCATTGGTCCCTACAGGTTCGTATCCGAGCGAGCTGGGATCCTGATGGCGTCGATAACAAAAATGGGACAGCAGGAGAATTGTAAGCGAGGTAAGGCATGATCTAAGGGGTATAATGGCGCTTAAGATGATGTTGACCAACGCCTGGAGGCGTTCCCATTTTGCCAGAATGGATGTGTGCACGAGGCAATGGTCATGATGGATGTCGGAGGATAGCGGCGGGCACGATAGCAACGCAAAGAGGGGAAGAAAATAGGCTATGCATAACAACAGCCAAGTCAGGCTGGCACTGTGGTGACAACCCTCACTAGTTGAATATATATGGTGTAAATTAGTTGTTGCCTGCGGGTAAGTACGTAGTTATCGCATCTTCAAGCCAACACACGTGTTTTGATGCAGGCAGAAAGATAAAGCTGACACAATACCGTACTGATTCGTTACGTGCGTAAGACTTGATATTGTGGCCAAGACATTCAATAACTACAGATGAGATAACGAGCCAGATTCTTTTGTATGCCGCGGGAAGAGAACATTCTGATGCAATCTGGAACCAACAGCCTGGGCGAGTTCCCACCCCTGCAGTCAATGCGTGCCATTGGTGCCGCACAGGATTCGAATAAATCATTAGGTAGTCAGGGAACACTCACATCTACGGCGATTGCACTCAACAGGGGAAGATCGACGATCAAAGTTATAACCTTCACGAAATTTGCAGTTGAAGACTCTGAGATTCTCGTTCGCCCTGACATCAGATGCCACTACGTTTGAAGGAAGTAGATTCCGATATATTAGTACATAGCTAGGCGTTATGACTACTGAATGCCCGGTCAATAACCCTTGTTAGTCATTAAAGTGAGTGGGCTGCTAAAATTACAATGACTATGTAGACCTTGCAGTAATCCTCACGTAGTGTGTGATAAGGTCATCTTACACTTTTACATGAGTTGATTGTTCATTGATGAAATTGGGAAGCAGTCAATCATGTAGATCCCAGTTGAAGCGATATTGATAGTAATAAAATGGGAGTTAACAACATTGATCATAAAAATGTACTGTAGTAATTATAAATAAGAGCAAATATCCTACGTCTCCTAATGCTTTTGTTAAGAGTAATATATGTGATCCCATTAGATTATCTAGAAGTTTAAGTTATAATATAATTATCTGGCTAGATAAAGGTCTTATATATAGATTCCTAGCATTTTAATATATGGAATATAAATATTACCACCTTCTTTTTTTAATACTTCTTTTTAATCCTTATATTAATTAATGCTATAAATTTTAATCGATTCCTTTTTAAAGGTAGTTCCCTTTAGGGTAAGTTAAATAGTTATATTAGATAGTATAAGGGTAATATTTTAAAGGACGCCCGTTAAAATAAAATGGATAAGGTAAGACTTTTTAAAAGTTAAATTATCTATAGCTATTAAAATAATAAATAGAAGTAATATTAAGTTTTTTAAAATAGAATATTATAAAGGGTAAGAGTCCTATTAATGTTACTTTTAAATTATTATTTATAATATAAAGCTTTTAAAATTAGGGCGCTATAGTATATAATAGCTATAATATATTATATATTTATTATTTTTATATATCCTTTTTCCTTTCTTTATCCTTATACTATTTATATATATTTTTATAATTACTTCTTTTAATAATTAATACTTTTATTAGGGTATAAGTTATAAATAGCTTATAATTTATAAGTTTTAGGTTTTTAAAAAGGATATATTATTTATTTTATATTATATTTTAATTCTTTTTATAAAGTAATATATATACTTTTCCTACCTATTTTACTGTTAATTTATATTATATTAGATTATTAAGCTTAATAACTTTATTTTAAAATAGTTATAAGCTAACTTTTAGAAACTTTATAGGGCTTTTTTAACTTTTATACCTTTTTTTAATTAGCTATAAAGGTTATAGTTTTAAATTATTATATACTTTTCTTTTTAACTTTTTTCCTTTATTATAATAATGCTAAAAGTATATTAAACTTTATTTTTTACCTTTTACTTAATTAATAGACCTATTATAAATATAATAAATAAAACTATTATAGTTAAGTTATTTAGTTTTATAATTAGTTAAAACTCCTTTAAGGTAGCCTTTACTATTATATTATTATATTAATTACTTTTATAATGTTTTAAATATTATTAATGTTAAAAAGCTTTAATAAAGGATATAAAGTATAAATAAATATATATTTTATTATTTATAGGTAAAGCTAGTTTAAGGTAACTTTAAAGGGTTTATAGTTTATTATTATTATATTATTAAAGGTATCTTTTAAAAGTTAATCCTATTATATTTAAATATATAAATATTTAAAAAATTTAATTTAAGTTAATTAATAATATTTATTATTTTACTTTTTAAAATATTATTTTAAAATACTTTATAATTTTATTTTAAACTTTTTTTAAATTATTTTTAGTAATTTTCTTTAAACTTATATTTATTTTATAGCTTAACTTTTAATAATTTAAATTTTATATTTTTAAATTATAAAAATAATTTCTATATTATTTATTATTATTAAAGAATATAGTAATAAAAGTATTTTAGCTTAAATTAATTTTAATATAGGATTTTTATTTAGCTTTATATATAAATTATTTTAGCTTTATTATTTATTTTAAGCTTAATGATTTTTTAAACTTTTTAAAGGTTAGCCTTAATAATGCTTTTATTAATTTATTTATTATTTAATTAATAGTTAAAATATATTTAAAATTAACTTTTTTAATAATAATTTATTTTTAATACTATTAATTTTAAATTAATATATAT